TAAGAGTACATTTACATGGTTTTCGCAAAATTTCATTGCATTGTCATGAATGACAGAAAGTTAGCATTATTTGTATGCAAATCTACAGTTTCATGCAATTGTCAAAATTGTTCTCCCAATCAAGCAGGATGTAGTTGAAAAAAATGATAAGGGAACTTATATTTGCTCCTTTTTTCACTGTGCAGTCATGTAGCACAAAGTGCACCCAACAATTAGAGCCATGCAGAAGCCTCTAAATAAAACAAGAAATTTCATTTTAAAAGTAGCTTATTTTGTACAATCATTGCAGTTTCACTTTCAGTCCATGTAGTTTTAAGTACAATTACAAGTCTTTGATCATTTTTATCAAAGCATGATGGAAGGAAGGTTATACATGTATATATGAAATTCCACCGTTTCAATTTTCAAAGTTGTCTCAAAGAGTCATCCTTGCATGGTGAATCTACATGTACGTTGTTTTTGTAGACTGTAGAAAAATACATGCCCAGGACATGTGTTGCATGGTTGTTTGCATAGATGTAGGGCCATTAAACATGTTTAAAGGCATTGGCATGCATTTATAGGCAGTACAAGAATGAGGTACCTTGTAAAGTAACACACGGTTCCTTGTGTACCCGTAAAAAGCCTAACTCCAAAATTCAAAGTAAAGAAATGCTTACATGTGGAAAATGTATCCATATTGCCCATTCTGTCATACCAGGTGCTCATCTAGAACTTTTGGACATAAACTTGAAATGTGTTTAGTTTTCAGTGTTCCCTGGTGATTTTGTTTTTAACTTTTTCATAAGATCTTGTAAAATCGTACTTTCTCTTCTGTCTGAAAAGTTACTGAGTGATTTGTTTAGTTGGTTACTGGTGCCAGCTCCCACAATTTTTAGTTGGTTCCCGATGTCAACAGTTGGGTATTTGGGTACTCGGTTATTATAATGCTCGGCCCCATTAAAGGGGAGCGGATGAGGTTTACCATACAGTTGTCCTCGCCTTAATTTACATTTGTGTGAAAACTCACTTTCAAAGATCTACTGGTGCAGAAACTATGAAAATGATACCTGTTTTTCAATGTTTTGTGTCTAAAAGGGAGAACGCAACCTAACTCCTTCCTGTGTTCAAACTGGTTTAAAAATTACTCGTCTGCTGAACATAGCATTTGCACTTTGAGGACTTTTTTCAGAGTTCTGAATTGTGTGTTAATTAATTTGAATTGAAAAAATCCCCTTTAAAGCATGTAAGCTTGCAGTATGCAAGTACACCCATACCTCTAAGTAAACAGGTGGGCAACCGGGCAATTCACTCTTTACCCTTCCTTTCTGGCTCTGTTACCAGAGGCTTTATTTTGAAAACCATGCCCAAAGCATAGTTGCAGAGTTTCTCGTTTATTACGAGTGATCAGTGAATTAAGTGGTTTTTCAGGTGAAACTTTTCAAGAAGGTGACTTTTTTCTGTGTTTCTCAACATACCTGTACATAGGTTCCACATAAATTTCCAGTGTGGCATGTCCACCAACCCAAGGAGTGATATTGCATTTCACTTCAATCCACGATTCAACGAGCAGGCTATCGTCATGAACGCCCTGCGCTGCACCAGATGGGATGGCACTGAGCAGAGACACCGCACCTACTTCCCCTTCCACCCAAATGGGACCTATGAGGTAAACGCTCACCTTGAAAGGTTTTCAGAATACTCATTTCATCTCTGTCTCGTGCTTCTCCTGATTTTGGGCTCTTCAACTTTGAAGTGGTTATAATAGCTGAGATACTGCCACTGGAACATCATCTAAATGCATGTATGGAAGCACACATGTATTTCTGTTTGATTTGAACACTGTAGGCCTATGTACAGGGATCGATGTTGAGACAAAGACGATCGAGACGAAGCCTGAGACTGAGTCAGAGATGGGTATTGGAAAATTACCCTGGATAACCTTTGAGGCAGTCCCTTTCAAAACCCACTTTATCACCTGGGCCCAATTTCATAGGGCAGCTGAACACTAAAACTGGTTAAGCCCAGAAATATTTGCTAGTCAGAAATTTGTTACCAGCCAAATGCCACGAGGTGTAAATTGCATGTGACTGGTTCCCTGCTGCTCTTTTGCTAAGCTCCCCCCCTCCCAATAGTTCTGTCTCCCATTACATGGCATCTGAAAACTAGGTATATACATGTAGGTAGGAATTTTCCTTATGCCGTTTTACACCAATTTAGTGTGCAGTTAAGTGTTATTAACAGGTTAAAAGTAATAACAGTGAGCGGTCAGGTGGCATGTCTTTCAAATGAAGTGAACAACACTTGAAAGGGTACTAGTTTCATACATAAATAAGTCCACTTAACCCTTTTTTATCACAGTCAAACTAGACACTTAATTTTTTTCGTTCTTCATTTCCATTTTTTTCAAATTTCCCTACCCTTTTACCCCAAATTACTTAAGGGTTGTGCAGTCAGCATAGGGTAAGTAGGGAAACATGAAGCATAACACTTTCTTGGCCTAAACATGCAAAATTGCCAAGCAGTATAGGCCCTGGTCATCAAGAGGTTTGATTTTTTTATATCCCCATATTTTGGGCTCGAAGAGACCGTACAACCAGAATCACCAGATCCCACCGAGGATGGCTGAAGACCTTCCTTGTCCTAACTACGTGTACTTTTAGGCATTAATTTAATACCACACTTTGGTGATTCCCATTTAGTTTGCACACAACACTGTTACGGGAACTTGTCCATGGAGTGTGTTTGTGTTTGGATCTTACAGGTGGCTGGGAGCCATGGCCAGGCTTGGCAGTAATGCATTGCCCCGTGACATTGTCTCACAGTTTCAAAAAAGCAATGAGGTAGTCAGAAGTTCCACACAAATCTTGAACAGTTGACCACCAGCATGTGTAAACTCCAACTCTGAAAAGGATTGGGATTGTGGTACAAAGTTTTTGAAAGGCCTTGAACTCAAATCTATCTGTGGTCACATGAGACTCAGTCGGCAAGGTTACATGTACAAATCCCCGGCTGAAGGGAAGTAGGCTTTCTCTATATGTACTTTGCGTTGGCGAGATGTTAATTTTTAACATTTTTAATCACAGGTTTTGCCCTTACACAAACAATTGTTCTTTATACTTTTTACTCAGGGCTTGTGACAAAATTCACAAGCTTACTTGGCCAGGACCTCCTGCTTACTAGTGCAGATGTCTAGTGCAGACGGGAAACAGGCTTTTGTAGAAACCAAATTGCAAAAGCAGAAACTATCATAAAGCACTTTTGATAATGTTCAATGTCAAAGCAGTCTTAGCTAACCACTTGCTTGTGCATTATTTTTGACCCAAAATGGGGACTTTTGAAAGAGGCAAATTTCAATGGCTCACTTTTGATGTGCAGACGAACACCACAAACACTGAACCGCAATGGCATTTGTATGGCGTTTCTCATCAGAACCTCATACTGTTTAACAGTGTGGGCCGCGCCTATTGAGTGATATTTGCTGCCAAAATTGGCTGGCTGCCAGGTTCAAGTTCAGCACATGGTCTGCTCCCACAGATTTCTCAGACTTTGTGTGTGCGTACAAAATAAATGGGGACTTGGCATCTTTGGATGCAGGCTGGAAGTGCATGCCAGCCGGAAGTGAGTCAAGGTGTATGTGCTGGACATTTTAGTCCACTAGTAACATTGACACATACTCCAGCACAAAGTCATTAACTTACTAGCTAACTTCCAACACTCCAATCATCTTCAGTCCACTCAAAATTACACATGACACTTACTTTCCTGCACGTGTTCATGTTGTCAAGTGAAAGCATGTACTCGGTGAACTTTTGTTTTTTTTTTACACATGTAGATCATGTTTCTGTGCGAGCAGCACGAGTTCAAAGTTGCTCTGAATGGCTCTCATCTACTGGAGTTCAAGCATCGTCTGCCGTTCCAGAATATCAGCGCTTTGGCGATTGATGGGGACTGTATCATAACCCAGATCAATTACCACTAAAAGACCCAAGTGGTTAAAAGTGGCTGTTTTTTATAGATAAATCCAAACCATATATTTAGAGGATAATTATTTTGCTTAAGATCCTTCCTTAGCAAAAGGTTTGTCTGAAAAGGTAATGTTTCACCATGTGATGCATTTCATGAGTCAGTAAAGATGTTGTAATGTGTCACCTTAATCTTTGATGTCAGTGAAAAGTCATGCTTAGAGACTTCATTTATGCCCTCAAATGAAGGCACAAAAGAAACTAATATTTAGAAAAGGTATAATTCTATTACAAATAGAAATAGTTTTAGTTGATTGCCTAAACCAAGTTTTCAAACTAAAATCCTGGCCTTTCATTGATGGCCAGAATGCATTGTTGTAATCCATTTATACTAACATGCAGCTTCAAAAGACCAGTCACAAATCCTTTCGCAAGTCCAGTCACAAGTCCAGTCACAAGTTCCCTCAAGACCAATCACGAGTCCGCTCACAAAACCAGTCACAAGTTCCTTCACAAGATCAGTCACAAGTTCCCTCACAAGCTTTGTCACAAGTCCCCTAAAAATGGCCAGTCACAAGGCCCTTCATAAGTCCAGTCACAAGTCACTTCACAAAACCAGTCGTAAGTCCTCTCACAAGGCTCGTTGCAAGTCCTTTCACAAAACAAGTCATAAGTCTCTTCACAATAACTGTCACAAATCTCACAAGACCAGTCACAAGTCCCCTCACATAAGTCAGAAGTCCCTTCACTAGGCCAGTCATTTGCCCCTTCACAAGTACAGTCATGAGGCCCGTCACAGGCCAGTCATAACGAAGCTGGGTGAACAGTGACAGTGCTTGCATTACTATCCATTTGGCTTATGATACGATGACTTTTGATGGACTTTCGATGGTCGTGCGGAGATTGGTGCTGGACTCGGCAATAACTGTGCTAAAGAGGACGTACGTAATTCCCCCAGGTCAAAATATGTCAATTGACCCACTACTTTCTTTTTTGGCCAGTTATAAATTTATAAGTGCATGTATAACAATTATTTGCTTTATGACGGGGGGTCAGTGAATGAGACTATTTTAAAGAAGGTCAAATTACTGTTGCTAATCAATTTTAAAGATTACTTTTATGCTTTGATAGAAATTTTAACAGGATTTATTAAGTAAATGCCTTTTTTCCGCCTACAGTTTTATGTGAGGGGAATTGTTGAATTTTGCAGAAAGACAGGTAAGCCATATGTGCTAACGCAAATGTAAGCTGCAAAGGTGGCGAATGACCAAGTGTTGGCTATCTCTATTAAATTTAGTTTGATATAATGGAACCAATTAAAAGTGCTGTGCAAAATTGAATTTAGGCACTGTAGCCCGGAGACCTTGAGGAAAACCCAAAGAGTTGCAATGTTACTCGCATCTCTTTGTGGAGACTGTAAAATGGGTAGGGATTGCGGTCGACACCGCGATGTACGTCACTTTATGTTAATTGTGTGAATCCAAGCAGAGGATAGTGGGATGGTTGTGTCGTCTTAGGTCAAGGAGTTGCCGCTTTTGCATTTTACAGACCTCATGTGTAGCGGCCATCTTTGAGGCATAATTTAGTCATTCAACGTTTTGCCCAGCCTTGCTGACCGCCACGTATTTATGTCGTCTTTAATACCCTTAACTTCTCTGGAAGCTGTGTAAAGTTGTGCCTGCAGAGTTAAACACCAGCCCGTAATATTCACTAACACTAAAGTAAACTTGTAGTGCAAGGATACCATCGTTTCATCTTTGAAAAGCAAAGTAATATTGCAAACATTATGAGTTGATTTTTTGTTTGACAGTTCAAGTGTGATCGGGTGTACAAGGCTTTGTACCTGCCTCAAAATCTAAGTTGCCATAAAAGCTTACTATACTGTCGGCCGTTGTCAGTTGTTGCGACTTATCAGTATTGCATTGGGCCAGAAATACCCCATCAACATGTGTATATCCAAGGGGGATTTGAGCTACTGTATTTCCGTCGCCTGTTAATTCTGGCCTGTATTTATATCGGACACTTCACGATTATGAACATGTAGAAACATGAAATTTGAAGAATAAATGAAAAGAACAGAAATGCAAGTTTCGCTTTCGCTTGGACTTTACTTCTGTGCGCTGTACAAGTAATATCCTTCAACCCGCCAGTAATAAGTCATGCGACGTAACACGAAGAGATGCTATAAATAGAATCACTGTGACGTAGGCGGCACACCGTGACTGGTACGAATTCTACAGTTTACAGGGAGCTGTTAAGGTTCCGATCGCCAACCGAAAGGAGAAGTGTTGTATTTAGTTGCATGCATTGTCACTGTAGGCTTTGAATTCGCTAACGGGCTTTAATTCCTACGCCCTAACAGGTTTGGGCATTGTGTGACAGTCGCCCATTTTTCCTTCAAATTCACAGATTGTAGTCGGGGCAGAGGGAAAGATTTGAATTTTGTTAGGAAACGCATAAGACTATAGTATAAGTCGCAAGAGGTCGTTACTCCTTTCTAGACGAGCATTGGCTTCTCCAGACTTGCAATCACTGACCCTCCACTCAGCTCAAATAGTAGAGGGTCCTTGTTGCAATTAAACATATATGTTGCTGAACTTTTCCCTTGGTACAAATTTGGGAGTAGTCAAAAATGCAGGTTTGTTACCGGTACCACGAGATGACTAAGACGTACGTACTTGCGTATTTCTCAGAGGACCCCCTACAGTTAATTCTGGGATTTCCCCTTCCTCTAGATAGAACAAAGTGAATAGGGAATAATGACTTTTGTCTCGGGTATTGTCATCAACTTTTTGAAAAGCCCTCTATCTCTACTTTAGTAGCGTCTGGTTTGCGCGCTCGCATGAGAAAAAGACCCCTTTTCCTAATACAGTATCCCATCAATTCTGACTGACCCCATCACCCCCTCAAACGAACGCGTACCGCCAAATTACTTTTCAGTAGTCGACCTACTACCATTAGCAATACCAATATTCTCATTTGCTCCATCTTAGCTGATAATAACGTGTTGTTTATGAGCATATTCCCAAGCCCAGTCTAACGAAACGCGTGTAGAACCCGCTCTTTGTCAAACAGAAAGCCAAACATCACGCAACAATAACACAAGTTCAAGTGTTATATTTATCGATTGAGCGCTTGCCATGCATGCAGCTTCGTGACAAACAAACCAGGCTAGCAATTTAACCCCGGCCCCGGGGATGAACTTTGCTCCCGCGCCTGTACGTGGCCGTGGAACGAATGCGGTCGAGGTTTCCTTCACTGCCATAAAAAGGGGTGTGTGAATGCAATCAGCCCTATAGGCGGTCGGTTGCTGTTGCACGGCGCAAGCTCATCATCTCGTGGCGGTCATTTCACCCCCTTCTCAGCAAAGGGTAAGCTTTTTTAGGCCGATTCTCCTTCCAGGCCCCATTTCATCCCTGCTTTTCATGTTCTCGCTTCATGTTTGTACTTTTGGGTGGAATTACAGTCCGTTCCGTTCTCAACCTCGGTGGAGTCGTGGAGTGCCGTGGACCAGGAAGTACTCCGACTGCAGGCTGTGTAGGCCTACCCGCGTGATACACAGGATCCAACATCCGGCTAAGATCTAGAACTACCTGGTAACCATTTTGCTATGTTGATCACGAATCACGGGTGAACGCGTGAGGGCTCTGCTGTATATGTTTCCATAATCTTGGGGGCGATTTTTTAACCCAGCATGTTCGGGGATAACCAGACTTAAATAAAGGCTATGATATTTTCTTCTGGGGGATTTTGGGGACTCAAACTTTCAAAGTATCTATGACGAGGAGATGACTGGTCTCAAACTGGCAATAGGCTGAATACCTTTTTCCCATACAAAAGCACATAATGTAGCCCCAGACTGTTGTGCAATAAAATCTTTTCTTTCCTGGCACTTGTGTTGTATAAAATGTGGACATCCATCCTTGCACTTCCAACCTATATGCATACCCATGTACAGGATCGGTGCACATGAGTCATGCACAGCAATGGCAATGAATCCATATTTATGGAGTCCTAATTTCACAATACGCTGAACATACCACGCCTGTGGGTCCATTTGAAAACCAAACTCGCCGCCTTTATACGAACGTAGCATTCATCGTAGTTAGGATTAGGCCTATATGTGTTCATTAAATCATTTCTTTGTGATGGTGGGGCCTGTTATTTTGTGGCAGTGCATTTATTACTGCTGTTTTGCGTTCGAGGGATACAGTGGCTTAATTTGGACGAGCAGTTTTACCTTATGTGAATGGTTTATTTCCATAATGAAATATGCATTTGAAAAACATGTGATTTTTCCTCAATTCTGAAAGATTGAAGAGCTTTAGCAGTGTACTATTTATTTTCTTTTTCACTATTTTGACGCACTGTCTGAAAGCTGCAGAAACTGACTGCAGGCAACTGAGAGGATTCTGAAAGAAATGGCGCTTATCGCATTTTGGAAATAAACTCTTCCGATTGAGGCCAAGCAGTCTTGTGCAAATTTTTGTGAGCAAACCTTTAACTTTCGAGTGACTGAGCAGTGGGAATTTTCGGCACGCGAAAGGCGTGTCTTGAATGCTCGTCCCTATATAAATTGGATGGACGAATATCGGGTTGTGCCTTTCATCCCTCACCAGTCGCAAAAGAAAAGAACGTGAGCTTCATGGCCGTGCCCTCTGCGGGCTGTTAAGGGGAGTTTGCCCCTTGGACGCGCGCCTGGGAACCTAGACCGAGATTCCGTTGTCTGACGGTGGTCTGATGTTGCTCTGGGATGGGGACGGCAGCGTAGAAGTTTTGCACCGTAAAAAGCGCTGCCGAGTCCCGTCTGGCAACTTCGTCGGACTTCTGACCCGATCTGAAGTCACTCATCTGGGTGTGGTCCAGTGTGCCAGAGCTCATCGAGAACGGCGCACTGGCCATGGTATCTTGGGACCCGTTAGAAGAGCACCTTCTTTCCCCCTTCCTGCCGTGCATCACCAAGATTCGGCCTGGAACACCGAGAACAGAAGAGCAGAACTCTGAACTTCTTGCTGTATTGACTTTTGCTTGTCCGCCACTAAAACATGGCCTGGAACCGGCATAACCCATTATTCTTTTGTCCTCAATTTTGTAAAAAAAAAATCTCGGTTGTATTTTTAACGATTTATTTAACCCTGGCAGCTCTCAATTATGATTTTACAACCATAGGAATTAGTGTTAGGAGTTATTCAGTATGGTTGTCAAAATTGTGAAAGCTGGTTTGCTTTATTCCTGTTTTCTTTTTTCCTGTATTTGCTGCATTCCTGGCTACTTTGTTTTGATTCCCTTTGTAAGGAGTAAATCGTATGACATTTAGAGGTCTGGGTTTACTCTGCAGTTGGGAATCATTACATCACTAAAACGTTTAGGCCTTTCAAGCCTTCTTTCTTATTGGCATATCGCTGTAGAAGGGGGAGGGGCCGAATATTTACCTTCGGGTCTTATAAGATTCTGAGTACAGTATGTGGATTGAAGTGCGGCGAAAAACCTCACAGGAGCGGAAGCGCAAAAAGCCAATTTGCATTTAGCAGACGGTGGAGGTCATTCCCAGATCGGTGATACCGTGCACGATATGGGGCTGATGGGTAACCCCCCCCCATGTCCACTCCGTATACACACTCTAGACTATTGTTACCTAAC